TAACTGCTGCATGTGAAATGAATAGAAGCTGACAATGAAATCAAACTTTTAGTAGAAATTCTTACCTGGTCACTGATACTAGGCAATGCAAAGAAAGATAGCTACTACAATATATGATAACTGTTTTAGGAACTGGTTACTCTTAGACTAACTGCTAATAGTGGAAGCAGTCAGTATTACATAATAGACACTTTCTGTAATGACTTTGAGTGAACTGAAGTAAATACAAAGGATAGTTTGTTCTTTGTATGTTACAGCAATCAGTGATTTGTCGCAATCTGATATATTTTACAGACTTTTGCAACTAAATCTTTTCTCTCATAATCATCCCAGTAATAAATAAAACGGACAATTTGTACTTCGCTGCTTGCGCGACACAAAATTTACAAGGTCTCGCGAGCAGCCAAATTTATGATAATTACATCAGTACACTTCCCTCGGGGCAGGTTCCTCAGAATTTGTGATTACTCAGGAAATGAGTCATCCTAAATCGACTCCGCGGCTGACAGTTTCTCACTGATTAATCTCGTTAAAGTCGTTAACTCAGCAGTTCCTTCTCCACCTTAACGCCGGTATCTTCAGATCTTGCCTGATAAACTGATTTAAAGGACGCCACCAGATTGGATTACGTCGAGTCTCCGATCGGATCGGAGTCCGTCTTTCGACGAATAAACAACTCGTTAAGGAAAAGTAATTAGCCTCCGTGTGTTATCGCTGAGCTCCTAAACACCAGATGATCTGTGTGGACTGCCTAGAGCTGTGATTGTAGCCGGGATAAGGAAAACTCACGAAGTCCAGTGCAGCGGCTGTTTTAGAGTTTGTGATGTAAATCAGGGCTAGAAATACCTTTTTCTGCATACCTGCACTGGTGTAGGTAACATTGAAAATTACCTGCACCAGACAAACGTTACCTGCACCACTCAGAATTTGACAACTATTAATCATACTAAAAACTGTTCAGAAACTGCTACCAATACTTCTGAAGTGGTGACAGTCAATACAGCACATAAAAATCCACATACACCCTTGACAGTGGCTGGTTTAGAGTCTGTCTTGTAAAATCTGTTGCCGAATGAACGACGTTTATTAAGAAAGGAATACGGTCACGTGAAATCGTAACTCTTATGTTTAAGTTTATGTTTGTGTTTGGAAGTGATTTGTCATTAATTATCTTGATGAAGGCAACAGTGGTCCCTGAAAATTTGATATTTGTATTATACCATTTTAGATAGAAGAAACTTTGACGAATAAACAACTCGTTAAGGAAAAGTAATTAGCCTCCGTGTGTTATCGCTGAGCTCCTAAACACCAGATGATCTGTGTGGACTGCCTAGAGCCGCGATCACAGCTGGGATAAGGGAAACTTGTGAAGTCCGGTGCAGTGGCTGGTTTAGAATTTGTGATGTAAATCAGGGCTAGAAATACCTTTTTCTGCATACCTGCACTGGTGTAGGTAACATTGAAAATTACCTGCACCAGACAAACGTTACCTGCACCACTCCGAATTTGACAACTATGGATCATACTAAAAACTGTTCAGAAACTGCTACCAATACTTCTGAAGTGGTGACAGTCAATACAGCACATAAAAATCCACATACACCCTTGACAGTGGCTGGTTTAGAGTCTGTTATGTAAATTCTGTTGCCAAAGAAATGACATTTATTAAGAATGGAATAAGGGTCATGTGTCTAAAACCGTGACTCTCTGGGATTTATGTTTATGTTCAGAAGTGACTGGTCATTAATTATCCTGATGAAGGCAACAGTGGTCCCTGAAAATTTGATATTTGTATTATACCATTTGTGTTAGAATAAACTTTAGCATAATTGTACTATGATTACTTCCAACACAGATAAGAAAGGACGTTGTGGGTCTGAATAGCCCCCAAAATGAGTCTTCATTACAAAAATTACTCCTGTAACAGCAGAACTTTAAAACCTACTCATCATCCATAACAAACATTAAATTCACTTACAAATGACACTTGAGCCCAGTGGGGCAGAGGCGAAGTCCATCTCCCAGTTCAGAGCAGAGCTGGGACGGGCTTCGCTGCATTGAGCTGCCTCCCTGTCCTTGTACATAATGTAAATATGTGTAAGAATAAAATCACTAATCGTCACTTGTCCTGTCTTGCATTTGTCTAGGTTCACCCCTATCCTACCATTTGTTTGCACACAGTTACTAACTTGGCATAGCAGCTGCTAATAATCCTCTTCATTGAGGGATCAGCAGTAGTGAAGATGATGATGAAATGAGAAAAAAAATTACAATTTCAACAGTTATTTGTAACATCACAGACATAAAAGATGTTAAGAACACTGGCAGTTGTGCAGAGGTTTTCACCAGCAACTTTGTGGCCCTGGAGGGGGATCACTAACCACTAGACCACGTCACGAAAGTTTCCTTGAGCCGCGTTTAGAACTGGAGGCAATTTCCGCCGGGTTTGACCCGCTAGGCTGCGTGATAACCTCACAGCCTCGCCAGAGCAGAAGGGCATGAAGGACTTCTAAAAGTCAAGTTTCACCGGCTCAAGTGTTCTAAGCAACTTTTTTTTAGAAATGCTTGTTTTAGCTTCGAAACTAGATGAATGGTATCACCATGGTTAACAAAGTGACACCTAGCTGAAGTACCAGTTGATATTGCATGATAACTGGCAGCCTCGCCAGAGCAGAAGGGCATGAAGGACTTCTAAAAGTCAAGTACTAGTTTCAGGAGCTTAAGTGTTTTGAGCAACTTTTTCACTTGTTTTTTCCCGGTAACTGGATAGTGTCGGGACGGTAAAATCCAGGTTTACAAAGTGGCAGCTGAATGGCAAAGTAAAATCAATTTGTATTGCCCTGAGGAAGGTGGCATGTGATCCACCAAAACATTGACAGGGTAAAAATAACTAGATGTTATTGCCTGAAGTACTGTGGGGCTCAAAATAACCTGAAATCTGCAATGTACAGATGCCAGATTGTTGGTTAAAATGCAGTTTACTTTTACTATTTTGTACGAGTCACAGTTGAATCCAACACTGTACTGAAGCTCACATTGCAGCTGGGCAGCAACAATTTCTACAGAAGTTTGCTCCTGATTTCAAGTGAAATTTCAGTCACAACTTTCTGTATTGTAATAACAGTATAATGATAATAAATAGAAATGATAGAGTATTTAGAGCCTCATGTCGTTGGACTGAAAATATGCCAGGTTTTGGCGAGAAACATGGGAGAAACACGTTACAACATTTCTACCAACTGGTCCTCTCCTTGGTGCTGAAAACCGTCCGTACCGACATATAACGTTACCGGCTGTGCCTAACTTTCCTTCATCGTCTCTAAGAATCCTGGTGCGTTCGTCACGTTCTGCCTAACTCAGCGATCAAAATTAGAAGTGTGTAACTGTCCGCCACAATTTCATACCATAATCTTTTTAAATGATACTGTTTATTGCCGGAAATTCCTACAAATTTCACCGAAATAGCAACATGCTGATATGCAAATCGCACATTGTGGGCGGGGCCTCACCATCCGTAAACAACGTGTCGAAAAGCTTAAAAATTATCTTATTAATGTCAGTTTCGATAGCTTTAGGTGTATTTTCTCGTTTAGATACATCTTTACAAAGGTTTAGAGTTGTCAATTTGGCGTTGTTACTTTACGTTCATGCCCAGAAAGTTTCAAAATCGCAACAAAATTTGAGGGTGACGCCATTTTGTTCCAGGCAAAGATACTTCGCAGTTCGAACTCTAACCACTTTTTGCTGACCAGGGAAACAGTATGCACGAAGACACTTACCAGAAATGATGTGTATACTGTGCTTTCTCAGGAAATCCATTTTGTAGCTGCTAGACGTTGTTGGAAAACAATTTGAAAGAAATCTTTGCACTCTATAGTTCCGCCACCAACGTTGAACGCTGTAGGCAGTTTGTCGTCTGCAGGACGGTATCACAGCGCCGACAGCGGCGAAACGTATTATTGCAGAAAATCGCCATGAAATAAAAAGCCACGGTTTGCGTAAATTAGGCGTGAAAAAAATAAATTTGCCTGCCAAAATTGTTAGTAAGGTAATATTTCAAGTATCAGCACTGTCTGCATGCTTTTTTGATAACATTTAATAGTTAAAATAATGAATTTGAACATTTTTCTCAAAGGTAAAAGAATATCAAACCTCAGACAACTTTTACAGGCTCAAAGCTTTTTTATTTATTCCATGAACTAAAAGTGTGCACCAAGAAGTACAATACAAGGGCGCTACATCCTTTCTACACTCTTCACTCTATTCATGCATAAAGGAAACAAAGCAACAAAAGATCAAACATCCATTAGTGAGGGCCTGCAAGGGGGGATCCCGACAACGCTCTATGCTGAATTCGGAAACCTCTCGATCACGCTTTACGATAAATACCAAAAATATTTGAGCGGTCCGTCTACGCTCTACGTAGATTTAAAATGGCCGATTACGCTCTATGGAAAAGGGCTTGCGGCCCCCATTAGTGCAGAATATACAGATTCACACTTGAACAGCTAATTAGAAACACCAATTATTCCTTGTCAATTCATCAGTACAAAATGTGTACAACTATATACATGTAATTACTCATTGAAACGGTAAGGCACAACCGCCTTCCTCTCCAGAATAGTCTCTGTCAATACTGTAACCTGAATAGAATAGATGATGACCAACACTTTATTTTAGACTGTACTTTATATTCTAATGAAAGACCTGTCCTGTTTAATCATATCAAAGAGAAGTTCCCACACTTTGAACAATGCAAAATGCAAACGATAAATTTATATTTTTGATGCATCTAGACAAACCCTGTATCGCAAACATGATCTATTCCCACATTTTCCATTGCACAAAAAAGCCAGAAGAAGTTGACCACTCTGTATTAGCTCAGTAACTAGTCTACGAACACTTTGTATTAGCCTAGTATAGCACCCTTGTATGTTCCTTATGTATAACGTTATATGTATGTATGTCTAAGTTCAAGTAGTGTATCTTTTGTCCCCACTTTTCTACATACGTTTGTTATGTGTCTGTTAAGTCTTGACCTGTACCTAGCCCGTCGTGGCATGAATGTACAATAAAGGTATTTCAATATTCTTCAGCATCCAGTGGTAATGCTGGCTATGTGGTGTGGCTGAGGTTGTAGAGCTCTTCTGCTGCCTTCTCCAATCGCGAGCGGTACTCCACATTCTACAACAAATACATAGAATAATTAAACTTCGTGGTGAAGTTTTCTTACAAAAACTGACCATCTACATTTAAGACAACTTTGACTTGTTGCTTCATATTCCTTAGGGGATGAACAATACTTTTTTCTATAACGTATATAACAAGAGTGAGTGAGTGAGTGAGTGAGTGAGTGAGTGAGTGAGTGAGTGAGTGAGTGAGTGAGTGAGTGAGTGAGTGAGTGAGTGAGTGAGTGAGTGAGTGTGTGAGTGTGTGAGTGAGTGAGTGATAAGAAACTCGCAATTTTGTGCAAAGAGTGAGTGAGAGAGTGAGTGAGTGAGTGAGTGAGTGAGTGAGTGAGTGAGCGAGTGAGTGAGTGAGTGAGAGTGATATCATATGGTGAATTTGCAACTACAATCCAGCTACAAATGGTCTAAATCATCTTTTTTTCATATTGATGTTTTTGGATACTCCCTTGTAACCATACATGTACATGTACATGGCCCCCCCAGCTCAAAACTACTACCCAGCTACAAATGGTCTAAATCATCTTATCTTATAGATGCTTTTGAGTACTCTCTAATAACCATACATGGTACCCCAGCAGCTTATAACTACTACCCAGCTACAGAAGGTCTAAATCTCCTCACCTTGTAGTTGTTTTCGTGCACTCCCTTGTAACCATACATGGCGCCCCAGCAGCACCCAGCAATAACGCCAGTGGAGTCACTGTCACCCCCATGGAACATGGACCTATCAGATGGCAGACAAATCATTCAAAGCTCATTTCAAAATGAAGGGACAAATAAACAGAATCCATAACTTAAAAGTATGGAATGCTACTGTAACATTTTCTGTGTAAGGCCACACCGATTTAATTTTATGGATGACATTCTCTGAAGACCCCCAAACTAGAGTGCACGGGCGAATAAAAAAAAATTCCAGCCAAAAATAAAAATGCTACTAAACCACAGGAATGCAAAGCTGGTATTGTCAATTTGTGGCAGTACATAGCGACGTATATGACAAGCCTGCAAATGCTGGATTTGCACAGAATTTGTACATCGGCACTGTAGGTATGTACTGAGTTCTTGAGTCGTGGAGCTTCGGTAGCCTGGGTGCCATCCTCCAGAGCTAACTACCACGGACTACCTAGGCCTAGAGCCAGGCCAGAGCCTTGGTGGACATTTTTTTCTTGAGAACAGGCAAAAAATCAATGCGTGCGCTGATGTCATCCATAAGATTAGTCGGTGTGGCCTCTTTTTTTCAGAGGAACTCCTTAAAGTTGTACCTTTTACAGAGTTCTTCCCAAGAATCCCCAGAAGCCAAGAGAGCATCGTACCTGAAGGAAAGTGGCAAAAAAAAAGAGTTTAACTGGGCTTAAATTTTGCAGGTCACTGAACACATTTTGTCTAGAAACATGGAAGAAAGTTACCCAATCCAACATTTCTACCACTGGATCTCTCCTTGGTGCTGAAAGACCTGTTCTGCAAAAAGGTCCCTGCGACATGATTCTAACTTATCAATGACCCTGCTATGAATATATTATGATGCAAACAAGCATCCAAATTCAGCCTTGTACGTCACTACTGCCAGTCATTGTGTACTGTATCTGTCTGTATCTGAATAATCGGTATAATCACCCTTCAGCCTAACACACCAGCTTCTGTATCTGTATAGCCGGTATAACCGCCTTTCGGCATAGCACACCAGCTTCGCAGGCATGTAGCGTGGCGGCAGGCTAGCTATACTACACCAAACAACTTGTTACACCTAACACCTTGTTGATACAAATAAACCAATACACAAACAAAAACAACAGAAACAAACTCACGCGATCATGGGTGCATCGTGCCCGCTCGCCCCCGCCCAACCAGAGAAACTCAGAGTCCTGTAGAAGTCGTCTCTCTCCTTGGGTCCGTACTCCTGGGGGAAGGTTGGATCCGATGTTCCATCCGAGATCCCTCGCTGTTCCAGGTACGCCTGCCACTTCTCTGTGAAGTAGGGCCTGAGGGAATATGGATGGAGAAATGTAGTAAAACGTTGAGCTTTATTCCAACACACAATTTACAGAGAGATCAAATTTTCAGCGACCACTGTTGCCTTCATCAGGATAATCAATGACCAATCACTTCACAACGTGATCTCGTGAGAGTTACGGTTACAAACATGTGACCTTATGGAGAATGGAGAAATGGATGGATGGATGGATGGAGGAATGAATGGAGGAATAAATGGATGGATGGATGCATGTATGCCGTTGGATGGATGGATGGATGGATTTATTTATGAAGATTTACCACGTTTCGGAAGGATTGACATAACAGGTGACTTGTCTATCGCATCTTCAAAGATGTCAAACCTGAGACAAGACTGTAAGGTTTGAACCACTCACACCGGGAAGGTCCCCTACTCTTTTTGACAAGTGCAGTGGGTTCTTTAACGTGCATGGGGTGTGGCTCTCCCAAACACGGGACCTCCATTTAACGTCCTATTCAAGGGACCACCCTAGCCGAGAAAAGAAAATTAAAAGCTAGTCTTTAAAAGGAGTATGTATAAAACATGTTGACATCGCGGCATGCCGAATCAAAGGCAACAAAATATTATTCCCATACATAAATGTTAAAAAGCATGTATATCTGTGTCAAATGTAGAGCTATATTGACATTTTATCACATAGTAGCCCAGTTTTTAGTGCTTCATTGCATAAGAGACCACGAAGCGCAGACACAATGACGAGACTCGGGCAACGTTAGTAGCCCGGATGTAGGACGAACGAACGACGGTCAGTCGGTCGGTCGGACCAGGGAGCATGTAGGAAAGCCAATACATTTTCGTTTGCGGCGTGAGAAACGAAAAAACAGAAGAATACAATTGCATTTAAGGCGTACCATGCGTCCAGGTTCTCCTGTACATGCCTGCCGGTGTCCTTTATGTACTGCTGGGCTCGAGGCAGGAGAGACATCAGCCCTGCTCCCCACTCACGCACTGCACAAACAACAAAATTTATAATAATTAGAGAAGTAACATTTGCAAAGCAAATGCATAATGTTTACCTTGAAGTTCAGACATGGCCTGCTCTGTTAATTCTTACTCAAACACAGTCATATACAATGTACTACTAACTAGTATATGGTGACTGGAGCAGAGCAGACCATGAACTTGCAACATTATGTAACCCAAAACCAACAAGACCAACGTCAACAAATCACGTCATTGGTCAGGTCAAAAACAGAGCTCCAGTCAGAAGCTCTGATGAGGAAGGTGTCTGATAGACATTGAAATGTAAGCAAGGTAAACTACTAGTATCTTCAAGTTGGTTGTGTAAAAGAAAACTCCTGCATCCTATGATTCATACAGCTTACCAGCACGTCGGCAGAACGTACTGCACCTGCGCGAAACCCGTAATGTATTGTACATAGCACCTCGGTAGAATGTCTCATGTAAAGTCGTAATCGCACATATAAGGTTAACACTCCGTCTGTAGTTTCCAAATGTTATGTCGGAAAAGAGATCTTCTGCAACTGGCAAAATTCTCATGCAACGTAACGTTGACCAAAAATTCACCGAAAAACGTGAAAATACAGGGTTCTGCGCAGGTGCAGTACGTTCTGCCGACGTGCTGAGCTCACCAGGCTTGCGCTGTATGGCGTAGGCAGTAAACAGAGCCGATGCCAGTGACCCCAGGTAACCTGTCGGGTGGTGGTGAGTCATCCGGCCGCTCTCCACTGAGACTGCGATCAGAGAGTCAACCTCCTCGGGTCTGGACCAAGTATAGAAAGGAGGGAAGAAGATGTTGTATAATTCTTTATTCAAGACAGTGATCAGCTTAGCAGCAGTACATAAAGAATTATGGACCGCTGAATTGTGCTGGCCTTACATAGTACATAAAAATACAACGTATACGTACTAGGTACAAACAAAACATACAGATTCACGACAATTACAATATGTACAACACATAAAACTGGTTCTGCATTTGACTGTTATAGAGTCTGATAGTGTAAACTTTTAATGTGTCGATTAAAGTTAGACATCTAGGTAATAAGATATGCCAAAAGACAGGTACTCAAGCAACTGGATATGATTTTGGAAATGGTCTGACAGTTTAGCTAGAATCCACTATTCAGCTGACGTTTTGGCAATGTGAACCAGTCAGAAACGCCCTGAGGAAGGTGACAGACGGTCCCCTAAAACGTCGGCTGAATAATTTTAAGACTTGGTTGTGTAAAAGGAGTCTACTTTACTCAGTAACAGTCCTTAATATTTGCGATCCAGTAGACTTGTTGTGGATACCTACCGTTGGTACCTCAGGCCGATACACATGGCTCTCATAGCAGCACCACAGCCTACGCCTCTTGTGTTGAAGGGAATGATATAACCATCCGATTGGTTCGGTTTGAGCTTGGCGCAGCCCTCTGAAGAGGTCAATCCTGCCAAAGGAAGTTCAAGCAATCAATGTCTTTTCAAATGTTTTTTTTTTATAAAAACAAGAACTTGTACTCATTGGCTAAATTATATCATGCTGTATAATTTACTTTTTGTCATGTATGTGAATTCCAGGAAGACTTAAATGGAAATTCTAATAAAATTCTAATAAAGTCTCAAGGCTCAAAGGCAGCACATGGCCCATAGCATGAACCCTGTATTTTGAGCCCTGCTGATGAATCTATCAGTACAATAGCTCAATTGTCAGAGTGCTCGCTTTGTAACCGGGAGGTCGTGAGTTCAAACCCCAGGTGGGTCATACCAAAGACTTTAAAAATGGTACACACTTCTTTCTCTGCTTAGCACTCAGCACATATGAGAAAGAGTGTGGGAAGGTCAAACACACAGCACTACCAGCAGACTAGCCCCCTGATGTAGTGCCCTGCACAACTGTGTGTGGCCCAAGGGCTATAGAAATGGACATGGGGGCACCACCCCTATGCTCTGCATACATTGTAGAGCACGGGAGACCTTTTTGATGAGCCCACCTTCTGCTCGGCCATGCATGTCGTTCATGCTCTCCTTGTAATGTTTGGCCAGAGTCAGGAACAGGATGGGACGGTCCTTCGCACTGGCCTCCATCAGAGCTGAAGAAACACACAAACATGTATTAATAAGTTCAGTCTTCTTGATGTTAAAAATTTCGACATTAGACAACTTGTGATATTTCAAGTAAGTCAATTGATTGAAAATTTGGATATTATTTTTTTTACAACAGAGAAACCTTTAAAAATGTCATCCTTAAAGGTTAACATCATTTGGCGAATGTATGTTTGTTTGTTTGTTTGTTTGTTTGTTTGCTTACCCTCAGCTGTGGCCAGATGCATCACAGTGTCATCACTCACCATCCAATCTGGTACTGGTTAAGAAGGGCAGATAGAAACGTTGTAATACAATGTAGAAGTTTTTTCCAATAGAAAAAAAAGGATTTAATAAGTAAATGTAGTTTTCCTGTCCATATCCAATTTTTTGTTTAATATATAATGCCTTCTAATGTGTCATTTCTTATATACTAATAAACTACAACTGAACTATTAAACCATCCTTCCAAATGTAGACTCCAAACATACAAACCCACGCTAGATTAGCATTGCCCAAAACAATTATATACTTCCATCCTTGATGTAACATTACTAACAAGACCATAGAATGTTCAGGACAAAAATTTCAAAAACTGGAAGTTCTGCTGCAGTACCAAGGTCACCCACCAGGAGGCCCATATTTGACCTTGACCTTTTTCTTCCTAAGACTTACCAGCATACCAAATATCATCACAATCCATAAAGGCGTTGTGAAGTTATGCTGACTACAAATGTGCGGAAACACACACACACAGACACTCAGACAGAGTCACTAAAAACAAGACCTCCATTTTTCATGGAGGTAACAATTACTTACACTCAACCTTGACCTTGTCCAGCCCTCCCATCTCCTGCAGTTCTTCCAGGATTTCCGGTCCAGAATGGCAGAACTCCCAGCTTCCATTGTAATACCCCAGGGCGTCTCCAACCCCACTCAGCACCATTGCACTGCGGTAGTGGTCCACTGTCACTGGATCCATGGCTTAGAAGTAGATTAGAAGGAAATTCGGTGTTAAACTTTTAGTATATATATATTAGGGTTGTACTGTTCAGTAGATGGCAGAACTCCCAGTCCCCATTGTTATAGCCGAGGGCGTCTCCAACCCCACTCAGAACCATCGCACTGCGGTAGTGGTCCACTGTCACTGGCTCCATGGCTTAAGTAGATTAGAAGGAAAAGTGCCAAACTTTAATGATATAAGAGTTAACTGTGCTACATTCAGTAGATGGCAGAATTCCCAGTCCCCATTGTAATAGCCGAGGGCATCTCCAACCCCACTCAGAACCATCGCACTGCGGTAATGGTCCACTGTCACTGGCTCCAATTGGCTTTAGTAGTTTAGAAGGGAAATATGTCAAACCTTTATGATATAGATTTTCAGTATACATTCAGTAGATGGCAGAACTCCCAGTCTCCACTGTTATAGCCGAGAGCATCTCCAACCCCACTCAGCACCATCGCACTACGGTAGTGGTCCACTGTTACTGCCTCCATGGCTGGCCAATTTTATACTGTCTTACCCCCACCCAAAGATCTGCTTGGAGATTAACATAATCAGACTCGCTAGCTTGGGGTCGAGTACAGAAACACACGACAGGGCATTACTGTTACTAACACATTAGTGGCATTTAGTAAGCCCCCCACCCCCAGGTCCCCAAGACACCAGCGGCACTCCGTGTTTCTTTCCGTCATTCTGCGCTAACCGGCTCCCTCTCATCAACCGTCCGGCCAATTTACGATTTAATACAGCCCGCTAAACCTTGTTGACGCCTATCCCGCGCCAATCGCGACACTTCAACTCCAACTCATACAAGCCACTAACATTTCATAAAGACTGTTACAAATATTCATACTTTCCACAAACTGTCAGAGACTGGAACACTTTGCCTCAAGAAATAACAGATACTGCCGAACCCACGAAGTTCAACGCTGCAGTACTACATCACCTGAGGACGCAGCAATAACGCATCGCACAGCTCCCCTGCACGCTTTACCCCAATTTAGGGGTGTTGTGCAGTACCCAAACAAGAACAAGAACAGAACAACATCAAGTATTAACACCACCCCTCTCCCCACATGTATAGCTTTTTCAGCTAGGGTTTAGGGAGAAGGTTTGATGTACGAAAGAAAAGGGAATAAAAAATCATGGCTGGCTCTGAATTGTACGGTGAAAAAGTCACGCACCCAACTTCAACGTTATGCGCCTATATATCTTTGCAGCAATGCATCAAATAGGCCCTTACCACCTCTCTGTATCTTTTCAGCAACATTCAACACTACGTAGTTAACAATTTCTAAAACTTTCTCCTGTATAAAAATGACTACAGAAATGTCCTACCTTGACAAAAAGAAGACAAGCTCACGTACGGTGTAGTCAGGTGAAGAATGCTTGACAAAGATACGCCCCCCAAAAAGTTACCAAACAACTTCTGTCAGATCATTGACCTCTCCAGGTAAAAGTCATATAACAAAAGGTTGGCGGTTTCAGACGCTCTGTAGACACACTTTTTTTTGTCTTTGTTTTTTTTGTTTTTTTTTTACATCCAGTCTGACACATAAAACAAGCAGAATACCACAAAAAGTGTCTTTTATGCCATTTTGAAGAAAACTGCATGGATGGATTGGCACCCCTGAACTATGCCCCCAGACACTTGTGTGGCTGTTGTTGAGACTTTAAGGTTCATTGCATCAATCGGGAAAACCTGTCTAAAGATCGCCTAAGGGCCATTCTCATTTGGTTTTACCATTGGTTAAACTTTCTGTGCGCAATTTTCAAAGACATTTTAACTGTGCCGTACGTGTGACGCATTGGATATAACTATCGAGACTAGACCTTTTAATATCACGTCTCTGTATGTTCTCAGCACGGCCAATTACTAGTAAATATTCTTTAACTTTTTCATTCTCTGTATGTGTGACTACGAAAATGTCCTACCTTAAGGAGGGCCTACAAGGGGGGTAGTGATTACGAATTACGTTTAAGTCTCAGAGCTGATTACGACTTTACGATTTGCGGCTAATGTCCAATTACGAATTACGTTGATTTTTGCGGAGGCTGCCTACAAATTACGAAGTCTAAAACGGCCTGATTACGCCTTACGAAAAAGGGCTTGCAGGCCCTCCTACATTCAGAATTCCCAGTCTTCATTGTTATACCCCAGGGCGTCACCAACCCCACCCAGCACCATCGCACTGCGGTAGTGGTCCACTGTCACTGGCTCCATGGCTAGGAAGAAAAGTGTCAAGCCTGTCCTTGTGGTTAAGATTACACATAATGCGATCTTGGAGGTGTTTTCCCCCACTTAACCAGTCCCCCTACTCCCAGTAGTACTTCAATCGTTACTGTACAAGAGTATAAAAATCTTCGAAGCTGCTATGGCAGGTATTTCCGTAAAATCCACTTAATGTGTATCATATGCCAGAGTGTGTAACGTTATACATACCCGGCGTTTTGGTAAAAGTGAAGTCGAGCCGGTTTAGCGTTTACATCTTGTACGTACGTATACGTACCTTGTACAGCAAAAACACAAAGACTTCTTGCGCTGAACTTGGGAAAAACTGTAGTAGAGGTGAGTCTTTTAAATAGCAGCCACTGGAACCGCATTCGGGGGCGTTTTTATATGGCGTTATTCTGATCGAAGAAGCCGGATGTTGCGTCTGAGCAAGGAGGTTAAAAATCAACCTGTATAATTTTCAACCTATACTATAGTTGGTCTGACGTGCGACACAACAATCTGTTTGGTTACTTCCTCATTGCTGAGAATGCGGAAGTGAAACCGGTGCGGGTGCGCCGCCTTGCGGCCCGTATCGGATATGCAGATGGCGCAAGTGTATTACCATGAGGTTCACAAGATTACGTCCTTAATTACCGAAACCTTGGCTGAATAAAAGACTTGCTTGTGTATAAAGAGTCTCTTTACTCACTACATTGTATATTGCTTGACTGACTGTATATTATACAACTTAAATAAATGACATGATAGCTAGTAAGATGATGTTGGTACTTGACTTTAATTTTCTCATATATTCTTCTTTACAAAAGATTTTAGTTACTTCTCCATAAAGATCTTTTTATTTGAACAAGGAAGATGAATGACTCGTAAGCTGAACATTTTGATTCAGGGTTCCAGCCTTAAGAAATGGCTCAAGCACAAGAATTTATTAAAGATGAAATAAACAAACATCATCAACTGCACAGCAGTAAATGTACTTTGAAATTACAGCTGGAAATGACAGAACACAGATTTTTGAAAATCAACTTCTATTATCAACAACCATTATGGATATTCTACTTATTGTTGAACAGGTCATTCCAACTTAATTCTATCTTCCCACAAATCTTCCATTAAAAAAACAACAGTTCTTTTAATTTACAGTAATTGGGTTGCAAAAAGGTAGAATTTATGCAACAATAGCTAGTTTCATTTTGCATCAGTTCATAGTATCTGTTCATCATGTTTTGTCCTGATCTGTACTTATAGCCCATTGTGGCAAAATGTGCAATAAAGGTTGGCATTCATTCCATTATTTGTTCATTTATACGTTGATGAAGGTTAGACATCCAGGTAATAAGATACGCATTCATTTATATATTGTATGATCTCTTACCAATGGGATGAAATCATTCTTGGAGGAAAAGCCCTACATGAAATGTAACAACGAAATACCCTTTTTGGCAACTTGAAAACACTGATTGACTTGGATGATCAGACGATATTCTGGTACATTTACTTTTAAGAGGTTCTTCTTTTCTGTCAACAATGTACAATACTCAAATACTGCTGCATGTGCAGACTTTTTTTTTGAAATCAAATCTTTTTTGTAGTGTCTTGATCAATCCTGTCAGTGTTTATGTATTGTGTTTCACTAGTTTATTGATTGATTGTTGTATTCAACTTCTGTATGAAAATTTGGGCTTTGCTTGCTTGTATTACGTATTGTCTGGTGGCGACATGAATATAAGTGTAACTTAAGAGTGTCGCCACCATGTCTTGTCATTGTATGTTTCAATAAAAAAAGCCCTACATGACTCCCTGCATCTGTAAAACCCACGCCCACTGGCATGGCAGCTGGCTGGGCGCCGCCGCCGGCATTTGTATCTGAATTCCCCCGCCCGATCCCGCAGCCCACTTCAGCGGCGTTGGCCATCCCAGCATCGTGACCTTGGTCGTAGACGACGACCTTGGGGCCCCGAGGGTCAGCTGACCAGTTGTTGGCCAGTCCAACACAATTGCGTAGACGTTGTCACCCTTGGAAGTGTACCTGGGGTAACAAATACGATAAACTTTATAGATATTTTTATGATTACTATTATTTATTAATTTGATGATGATGTGTCCTCGATATTGTATAATGCACTGTTATGTTTTGCTATTTGGATATTCGTAACTTGTTGTTAGGTCCTGTATATTGTATTGACTTGTCCTGTGTTGTGTTGTATGTACCAGTGGCAGCCGCCACCAGCCTTTAGGCTACCTGGCTCCCACTTGTAATGCATGTGGCATCACCATTAAATGAAATGAAACTTTATTGTGCAGCAATGGTACAAGGTACAACGCATGGAATCTACTGCTTAGTAGGTACGTAGGTGGTCGATTAACGGGATTGTACTGCTCAGATTGGGTTATACCGCCCCTTACGGGTGACATACTCTTTCATTGGCTAATAAGAGACGGGGTTTGCCATCTAGGTTGCGAATCACCAACTTTCAGATAGTAGTACCTGGACCATAGCCTGGTTACCAAACCTATTATACATGTAGCTCCAGAGTCCTGCATCCTCTCCACAAAATTAATATTTGCGGAGAGGATGTAGGACTCGGGAGCTATAATAGGTTTGGTAACCAGGCTACCTGGACCATTGTGCACATGGATCATGCCCCTATTCTTTCAAAACGAGTGGTGGGTTCTTTTACGTGCGTGATATTGTTGGTTGAATTTCCAGCCGTGTATCTCACAAAGTGGTTGGGATGGATCCTCAAATTCTGCTGAGGGTGGCGGCCGATCGTCCCAGATGGAGAAAGCTACAGTACCTGGAGCCCCAAGCAGTAGTATCCAGCACGTCGGCAGAACGTACTGGGCCTGTGCAGAACCCCGTTTTTTCGCGTTTTTCGTTGGGTTTTTGGTCAACGTTGCATCAGAATTTTGCTTGTTGCAGAGGATATTCTTTCCGACACAACATTTGGAAACTACTGTCGAAATGCTAACCTTATATGAGCGAATACAACCTTATATGAGACATTCTGCCGAAGTGCTATGTACAATGCATTAAGGGTTTTGCGCAGGTGCAGTACGTTCTGCCGACATGCTGTAGTATCCAAGTATCCAAGCACCACTAAGGCTCGGAGGGGACTGAGTGAGTGAGAGTATCTCACCAGATGTCTGGAGTCTGTGTGTCGTGGGTTCTTTTACGTGCATGGTATTGTTCGTTGGAGGTAATAATTCATGTGCACCTTAGTGCACGCAAATTTGGAGCTGTTTACTCATTTTTTTTTTCTGTGGGTGCACTGGTGAAATATCTTCTACTTATATGGTGCACCCAAAATTTTTTTGTGCACCCAATTTTTAGGTTGTGCACCTGTTCCCAAAACTATATGGCCAGCCCTGTTTATCTCACCAAACGTCAGGTGTCATGGTGTCGTTCTGCGCCCTCCATGGCTTGGTGGCGTAGATAGCGTCCCCGTTGACCTTGAGCCACTGGCCCATGTTCCGCAGACGCTCCTCAAAGATCGGCACGATGCGCCCGTCGTGGGTTGGTCCGATGTTCATCAGCAGATTTCCTCCACAACTAGCACAAGGACATTCAAATAAAACTTTTAATTAGTAAAACCAATATAGCATACAGTAGCACGTCGGCAGAACGTACTGAGCCTGCGCAGAACCCCGTATTTTCGCGTTTTTCGTTGGGTTTTTGGTCAACGTTGCATCAGAATTTTACCTGTTACCAGAGGATATTCTTTCCGACATAACATTTGGAAACTACTGTCGAAATGCTAACCTTATATGAGCAAATACAACCTTATATGAGACATTCTGCCGAAATGCTATGTACAATACATTCCGGGTTTTGCGCAGGTGCAGTACGTTCTGCCGACGTGCTGCATACAGTCATTATGTTTACCTGTTGCAGAGTATATTCTTTCCAACATAACATTTGGAATTTATCGTTAAGCATAATCTAGGGGTTTCCAAATTCAGCGTAGAGCGTTGTGGGGACCCCCCTTGCAGGCCCTCATATAGAGATATGTGCAAATTGTATGCAGGTATTCTATTGCATCGTCTGACCTGACAGTCTCCGCCAAGATCTTCACAAGGTCGTCCATGTCCAGGTAGTCAGCCAAGGTCGCCTCCCGACGGAACCCCCAAGACTTCTTGTCGATCGTCATGCAGTTCTCCCACTTGTGTTTCTGTAGGACACCTGGACCAGGTTGGAAACAGTTTGTAGGCACAGTATTTTGTTGATTTTTTAGGGGACCACCCACAAAATAAAGGACTAGTGGAGTCGTGTGGTGTAATCGGTAGCATGTTCGAGTCCTTCCTTGTCACCGATCGTGTGCCCTGGGGAAAGGCACTTCACACAACTTTCCTCACTTCACTCAGGTAAAAATGAGTACCTAGCTTCGGTTAGGGACGTCCCTCGGATAGGACTTAAATGGAGGTCCCATATTTGGGAAAGCCACACCCCATGCACGTTAAAAAACCCACCGCACTTATCAAAAAGAGTCCTTCCCGGTATGAGTGGTTCAAATCTTAGCTTGTACTTACATTGTAATCTCCAAGCAGATCTTTCGGTTGGGTGGCAAAAGACAGTATCCATTGGCCATCCTGTATCCATTGGCCGTCCTGTATCCATTAGCCAACCGGTGGCTAATGGACACTCCTCTGGCCAATGGATACTGTCTTGCCACAGAAAGATCTGCTTGGAGATTACTTACATTGTACATGTACAAAACTGGTGTGTTTTGCCTGAAAGCGGTTTACCGAAACAAACAATCATGGATTCATTATTCTTGCACCTGCTCACCTGGGTTGTACCTGTCTGCACAGGTGTAGTACCCCCCGTGGTGACAGGCCATGCCGCTCCCCCACCTGTCGTTGGTCACCACTGTGTCCTTAACAGGGCTGAAGGGAAAAAATAATAATTTGTACTAGTAAGTCTATAAATCAGTTTAGTTAATTGTTTATTGAGATTTACCACATTTGTAGAAAATAGATAGGGGACTGTCACCTTTTCAAGATGTCAACCCTGACTATAAGGTTTAAAAAATTTACATTGGGAAGTGTGCCAGTCATTAATAGTCCTTATAGTGATGGACAGAATGATGATGATTGGTTTATTGAAAGAAACAATCTGACATATAGCAGTCAGCTGACTGAATTAGAGTCAGACTTTACAGTACATCAATTAAATGGATAAAATCACAGCTTAAAATATGTTAACACATGATAAAATATGAAATATTTATAGTCCGTTCAATCATTGTCATACATAGATGCATAAAATCTGTTACAATATTTAAAAAAAAACTTCTACAGTTCCTTATTAGAGGACTGCCAAAAACATTGACACTTGTCATTTTAGCCATTAACAGAATTATAATAATTTATATACAGAATGATTGACACCTGTCGTTAAAGTGATTGATAGAATGATTTACACCTGTCGCTATAGGACAGAAAGATTGACACCTGTAATTACAGAGATTGACAGAATGAGTAACAGAAAGATTGACAGAATGAGTGACAAAATGACGCCTGTCATAGTAACAGAATGAGTGACAGAATGAGTGACAGAATGATTGAAACCTGTCATTATAAAGACATTGACAGAATGCTATAAATTAAAATGATTGACACCTGTCATTACAGAGATGGGCAGAAAGATTGATGGAGAGTGACAGAATGATTGACACCTGTCGTTGTAGAGCCATGCGAGGAAGTCTGTGCTGTTCCAGTAGGTGTATGGAGCCTCCCAGTCACCGTCAGACCAGACCACCTCTGGGTGGTAGGTGTTCACAAGTTCATACAGCTCCGCAAGTCCAACCTCCTGTAAACATATATATCATACGGGTTAAAATCATCTTTATTTCAATATACATATAGAATACAACACGGGGTATTCCGTATCGCCCGAGGTATCTGCCCGACTCGCGGGATGGCCGGGACCGAGGGCGATGCGGAATACACCGTGTTGTATTTTATTTATGTCATACCCACCCAAGAAAATAGCCTTTTAATGCAAGATGAGCCAAAAGTTGGTGCCCCTAAACCCTAAAATGCAACAACGTCAGTTCCAACGTCCGCATTCTGTATTCGAATTTTCGAAAGGGGCACACGCGGTTAGGGCGAAACGCGTTCAAATCGTTCTATGGAAGCCATGGAAGTGTTCGATAACGGGTTCCGGACCGGGCCGTACCGTAAAGTACGGCCCGGTCCGGAACCCGTTATCGAACGTTATCATGGCCCGGGCACTTAACATGACTTTCCCCACTTTACTCAGGACTCACAAGTGAAAATGAGTATAATTGTACATGTATTGTCCCTCGTGTTGGTGGTCGCATTAATATACGCTGGAAAAAACGTGACTGTGCCATCACCATGTCTTGTGATTACATGTTGGAATAAACTAGTAAAAAAAGGATGGTTGGTTGGTTGGTTTACCATTTACGCTTCATGCCAGCAGTGCCTGGAGGGGACATACCTGAACTAATGTACTGTAATTCCTGATTTTTCACGGTACTGTTTACAGTAATGTTCACCTTTTTCACTGTCACTTCAGATCTGTACCATAAACTTATCATTACGGTTAACAAATAATTCCTGGAATTCTCTTTCCTGCACCTGTTGCCACTGTGAATATATTAGTTCCGTGAACTTTGCAATTTTTTTCAGACAGTGAACTTTTGCTACTGTGAACATAAAGTGAATTACAGAAGAAAAAAAAGGATGGTTGGTTTTAGCGCTGTTACAAGCGAATGCCCCACGAACTGAAGCGATGTCCCAGCAGCCTCCTGTGCAGGTCACGTGGTCGTGTCAGTTCATCAGTCTCGCGAGATTGCCTATTCAATTCCTTCAGATGGTAGTGACCATCTGAACATGAATATGTAGTTCTGTGAACTTTTCAATTTTTTTCAGACAGTGAACTTTTGCTACTGTGAAGTTCATAAAGTGAATTACAGTAAAAAAAAGGATGGTTGGTTTACCATTTATGCTTCATGCCAGCAGTGCCTGGAGGGGACATACCTGAACTAATGTACTGTAATTCCTGATTTTTCACGGTACTGTTATGTTCACCTTTTTCACTGTCACTTCTGTACCATTAACTTATCATTACGGTTAATAAAAAATTAATAATTCCTGGACTTTCTTTTTCCTGCACCTGTCGCCACTGTGAATATGTAGTTCTGTGAACTTTTCCATTTTTTTCAGACAGTGAACTTTTGCTACTGTGAACATAAAGTGAATTACAGTAAAAAAAAAAAGGATGGTTGGTTTACCATTAACGCTTGATGCCAGCCGCGCCTGGAGGGGACATACCTGGGCTAATATACTGTAATTCCTGATTTTTCACAGTACTGTAATGTTCACCTTTTTCACTGTCACTTCTGTACCATTGACTTATCATTACGGTTAATAGATAATTCCTGAACTCTCTCTTTCCTGCACCTGTTTCCACCGTGAATATATTATAGTTCCGTGAACATGTCTATGACCATGAACTTTTGCTACCGTGAACATTAAGTGAATTACAGTCACTGTCGTAGCTGCTGGCCTTGGCATTGTTGGACAATGTTAATGGGCTTGTTCTGCCTGGGTGTGTTAATCTGGCGTAGATCAAAGGGGTAATTACCCTGGGAAAGGACTAAGGAGCACAGTCACAGGTCAATACTGTAATTCACTTTATGTTTAAGCCTTGAAGGTATGAAAATTTCACGGTCTGAGAAAAGTGGACATGTTCATGGAACTATGCATTCACAGTGGCGACAGGTGAAGAAAAACAAAGTCCAGGAATTATTTGTTAACAGTAATGATAAGTTCATGCTACAGAAGTGACAGTGAAAACAGTGAACATAAAAGTACTGTGAAAAAATCAGGAATTACAGTATCTACGAGAACAGATGGGGTGGCATGTTAAAGTTAAGGCCGCACCTTTTAATTAGGCCATCACAAATATTGTTGAACAAATGAGACCAAAACATGTGCAATTCACCAAATTCCCAAAGCAGACATATACAGGGAAACACCAACAGTGCAACTTTATAGTATTTGATAGAAAAAACGGGGTGAAAGCTTCAACATATTTGTTATTGCTGCCAAATGTACTGCAACAATTTACATGCTTTGATTCGTCAGAACCATTCCAAATATTCGGGTGTTCCATGCTGCACCTCTTGGGATCGTCACATCTTCAGGCACTATTAGTACTAATTAATATTCATGAAGCTGATTTTATAGAATTGTTGCTTGGAAACTATGGACGTCGGTAGTAGGTGTGTCTTTCATCCACCAATCAGCTTCAGGTTTACCCAGATAATTGAGGCATCTACAAAAGTTGTAAAAGTCTAGTTCGGGCCGAAGCCCCGCACTTCTTTGCGCGGCACAGCTGCAGTAGGGGTCCACGCCAGAACCACCGAGACTTTGAGAGTTACACCACCTACACTTCGAATTCACAGTGTGACATCTTTGTTTCCACGCTCACAAGAGAAAAGGCAGGTAAGACTCTACTAGTATATAATTATGATACAAAGAACATTGCCGACCTAGTGCCAACGGCTTAACTCCTCAGCTATTTTCCACCACCTACAACGCAACCAGGGTCACTCTTTCAAACTCGAGTCCACGGATATCTTAGACCGCGAAACACGTTGGTGGGAACGGGGTGTTAAAGAGGCAATATATGAAAGAATGTACAACCCCACCCTCAACAGGGAAGGGGGGCTACGGGTCGATCTTTCCGGCACTTGGGATTTGGCACTCCCAGCCCCGAGAACAGACAACACTTACATGTAAGCTCCTGTTCTGTATAACAGGAGCTTTCAGACTAATTTGCATCATCTTGTCTTGACTTGTCTGACTTTGTTCCTTTTTCGACTTCCCAAAAATTTGTCTTCACTTTATTTGCATATCAATCAATAGGTTGTGCTTATAAACCTGTTTTCCCCTCTGGTCTCTCAGTCACTGACGAAAGCTAGTGGATACTAGCTGAAATGTCTGACGTTTTCAAAATCATATCCAGTTGCTTGAGTAACTGCTTTTTGGCGTATAATTATGATCCCGTTGTAGCTTCCATGAGGAAAAAAATGTTTCCGTTTTGATAATTGATATCGTTTGACTCGCCGAAATGCCCCCGTGGTGTGCGGTAACTTGGCTAACGCTTTCAATGTGTGCACCGTCACAAACGCACATGCACAATCATAGCAAACAGATGCACTATGGCACCGTATAGACACACGCACTTGGGATGGTAGCCAACGGGCTGGGCGCTAATGGCCCTGGGCGTACCCAGATCTATATGACGGTATGTACAAATGTACGGGGGAGCTTTAAGTTATGTATGATAGTCTGGCTACCAGGCTAGGCAACATGGACATTGTCATTGAACGTGAATGAATGTACTGAACGTAGAACCACTGGCGTATATATCTATTAGACAAAGTGGTAAAGAGAACAACAATCGGACAAAACCAACAATCAGTCTGGTTGTTACAGCCTACTTGTAAAGTCCGACTCTCCCAGCATGTTATCTGACTGTCTATTTGCCCAATTTCTACTATTTCTAGCCGCCTCTGAAGCCAGTGGTGGGGGCTAGCCAGTTAATCCTCTAAAAATGAAACAATGAGCTCACCCCACCGCCAACTAGCCTGGTAACCAGTTCCTCGTGAGCTCAGCACTATCTCTTCGGTGCTGGTAGCATTTTGGGCCACCAAACCAGGCCCTATAGTACAGCGTTTTGCAGACGGTTGAGATTTCTTTCACACAAGGCGCAACAGAAAATCAAGCGTAATACAGAAAGTCATGATCAGCGGATAAAGGGAAACCAGTTGGAGATAGGTCCGTGGTATAGCCCGCCTGTGCTTAGTAAAGACTGGGGCACGAAAATCAAGCCCAATCCGACCAAAGGTTTGGTACCCTAAGGCTAACCGCCAACAAACAAAATGCCGACACACTGCCTGTGATTACTCAATGACATATTTTTGATGTCAGCTCAGAGAATGAGCCTCGGGACATAGAGGCAGGGCTTCAGCAGCCGTTGGTTACCTAACCGGTTTCTCAACTCCTGCCGAAGTACAACTCTCAAAGGAGAAATTTATGGCTACAGGAGCAAAGGTCGTCTCCAAATTTCACGGGCAATTAGTGTGATATACACATGTACCCTTGCGGAAGAACCCCCCCCCCCCACAAGGCTCAAATGTCCACTTTTTGGTCCACTTTTTATGTAAAGGTCGAAGGAAAATTGCATTATCCCAATAAAACATGGGCTGTGTATTATGATAATATTTCATGATGTTTCTTAATTTTATATTAGTAGGTAACCATGGCCTACAAGCTGGCAATGCTCCTGGGTCTGACCAGCCTCCTGATGGTGCTGATGGTGGACCAGACAGACTCGCTCTGTTGCTGGCCTAAGTGCGGATGGTTCTTTTCCCATTGCGAATGTGCCGATGGCTTTAAGGTAAATATCTCTGCCTGCTGTTGCAAGACTTTGTTCCAACATGACAAACCTCCCTTCATTGAACATGATTTAAAGGCATCCAGTGCAGTTTTTAGGCCTTGGAAACCCAATTTTTCAAAGTCAATATTCCTGCCATTTATCTACATACTGAGTTGAAACCACACTGTCCCAATGTACATGTATATTGACCCTCATGGAGCAAAAATCCCCAAATTTCTAACGGAAAATGGTTACTGGAAGGGCTCTTGGCTGATTTTTAGGGCGCCACCCAGAAAATAAAGGACTCATCTTCGGGCTTGTTTGTGCAGTTTTAAGTACCCAAAGTATGAAATACTGATTGAAATGTGCTAATGTGGGACAGTATGTGTCAATATCACAAAGATTGCCTCATTCAGACTATTTCTAGTTTTGCTGCTCTTAAATCGCATTGGGTGCCTTTAAGGGTTGCAGTATGTGGAGCTGAACATTGCAAGGAATTTTCTTGCTGCGTTTAGTGTTTAGTGGGGTCGTGTGGCATAGAGGTAGTGTGTTCGGCTCAGGACCAAGAGGTCCCCGGTTCGAATCCTACCAATGTCACCAATCTTAGCCCTTGGGAAAGGCACTTTTCACGGCCTTCCTCACTTCACTTACTACTAGGTGTAAATGAGTACCTAGCTTCTGTTAGTGATGTCCCTCGGATAGGACGTTAAATGGAGGTCCCGTGTTTGGGGAGAGCCACACCCCACGCACATTAAAGAAACCAATGCATGCACATCAAAAAGAGTATATAATTTATATATATATATGAGTACAATGAGTACAGTTAAACATTCTAAAATCAGTATTACTAAGAAAAATAACATCATAAAACTGCTATAAATGTATACAAAGATCAGGTTTTAGACAGCAGCTTCAACAAACGGGGTACAAAAGACTGTTCATGTCTTTTCGTTTTACTAGATGTTGAGACAGTGACAGGTTTAGTTTTGACCTGTCCTCATGTATCACAAAAACAACATTTTCTACCTATCTCATCAATGGATAAAGACTAGCATGGGCACTCATCCCCATGTCTCTTAACAGCTTTTGTTTGTTTCGCGTAACCAGTAAACCACCTTTAGGCCTAACACACCGTTTTGTACATGTCAGTACAAGCTGTGTAAGACAGGACTGTAAGGTTTAAACCACTCACACTGGGAAGGTCCCATATATATACACAGCTTGTACTGACATGTACAAAACGGTGTGTTAGGCCTAAAGGTGGTTTACTGGTTGCGCGAAACAAACAAAAGCTGTTAAGATGTATTTTATCGCTAATTATGCTGATGTATGTGACATTTTATGCTATCTATCTAAGAAACTGGCTTGGAGGGACATGAACTTTTCTCAGTGATGTATGACAGACAGTTGTGGCGAACTAACTTTGTATGCTCCACCTCTACGGAGGATGAATGATGATGATGATGATGATTGTAACAATTGAGTACATTTCAAGTTGTAAATATTCGACATATTTCATGCACTGATGTGATTATTCGACATATTTCATGCACTGATGTGACATGCTAGTCTATATTCAATAAAAATCTGAATCTGAAATCTGAATCTAATGCATCTCAACCCCACACTCAGACAAAGGGCGGCTGCGGAGTCGGTGGGTGCAACGCTGGCTATTGAACTGCGTTGGGGGCTGCAGAAAGTAAGTCATCCCATGGGCAGTGGTCGAAATACTTTTTTTCAGCGCTCTGCAATATTGCAGAAGAGTAAAAATTTTGTTCTGCAATTTGGAAATACTTTCTGCAAAATTAATACACAAGCCTCCATACTACAATCTTGCAGGTTTATAAGCATGAACTATTGATTCATATGCAAATTAGTGAAGACAAATTTTTAGAAGTCCAAAAGGAAACAAAAGATAAACAAGTCAAGACAAGGTTGATGCAAATTAGTGAAGAAGCTCCTGTTGTTTCAAAACAGGAGCTTAGTGTTGTCTGTCCTTGGGGCCAAAAGCGTCAAATCCCAAGTGCCAATTTTTCCTGTTGCAAAATTGCAGATTGTATAAATTTTTCTTCTGCAATCTTGAAAATCTATCTGCAGATTGCAGACTGCAGACAGGTATTTCGAACACTGCATGGGCAGTCCCAGATTATCCATAATTATTAGTTCTACATTTGCCTCCTTCCTAAATCAGTTCGCAAAACGACTTGTAACCTGTAAGTTGCTCTATTATATACGTACGGGTAGCTGCTTGGGACAAGGCCATTAGTTTTTTAGTATTGTAGTCCAAAAGCTGTGGAAGACGAAATACACTTTATCTCAAACTGTTTGTTTCATGATAACAACATTCAAAATGAGTTATCTATAATTCAAACGTCCACAATTTATCCCAATTTCTCTAAACTTACAAAGGAAAAATTATTCACTACCCAAAACCCACAAATTTTGGAAAAGGTGGGACATTATGTCTTCCGTGGTTTCCAAAAGAGTTACCATTTAGACATAGTTTTAGAAATAGCTATTAATAGTTTTAGACTATTACCATTTATTATGTAGATTCTGTACTCTGTTTCAATGTCCTTTTATCTTTGTGATTTGCAATTAGCCCTCGGGCAGGAATTTGCAATAAACTTTCTAAATTACTAAACTCTATATTCTGCACAGCTCTCCGGGTCTTTGCTGGGCTCAATTGCAGTGATTCTGATCCAAATAATTTTCTTACATGTCTACCGTATATATCATCTGTATCAGTATGGCTGACCTTCGGAGTAACACACCAGCTTTGCAAGCACGCGGCATGGCGGCGGCTAACTATATCACACCGAATGACTTGTTACACTCAATCTTTGCATCTTTAATTGTAGGAGTTGTTTAAAGCTTTTTAGTGATGATGCCTAAACTGTGCTTGGTGGCAACAAGTTCCACTCTGCGACCATAGTTCTTGGGAAGTACCAGTTTTGAACACCTCAATTCTTGCTCGATAACTCTGATATTTGAAGGCATGACTGTTTCTGATCCAAATCATTTTCTTACATGTCTAATAGTATATAAAATGAATAATGTTCACAAAAAAGAGCCTCAAAACGGTCATGGTCGGAGGCAGATGCTGAGGAAGCTCGCGGCCTTCTGGAGATGCTGGAGGGAGAGAAGGCCATGCCCGGCCGTGGATACCACGATGCAGACCTTGAGCAGTAAGCTACTTTCCTCTTATATTAATTACATCCAAAACCCCACAAATTACAGAAAAAGTTGGATCTTTTGTCTTCTTCTGTCTTCAAAAAAGAAGTCCCCAGGCATGAATTTGCAATAAAACAATTATTGTTCACAAGGGTGGCCAAGGAAGCCCGCGGCCTCCTTGAGCTGCTGCGCGGAGAACAAGAGAATATCTACCGGGAGGAGAACGCCAAAGCCCTCCGCAAGTTTGGAGAACACGACGCGGATGAGGACATGAAGCTGTCCAAGGAGGAGGCTCTGGAGATGCTGAAGGAGCTGGGGTTGGACATCAGTGAACGGCCCGATGATTGGTTCGAGTCCATGGACAAGAACAACGACGGGTACATCGACCCTGAAGAGTATGACGAGGACATGGCCAAAGACTTGAAGTAGTCTTCGAAGGTAAGAAACATCTGACATGATCTGCAGCATACAGTGTACTTCCTCAGCTGGTAGAAAGTTCTTGGGTAAGACAAGACAGTAGACCCTTCACTCTAGCGTGGGGTCGTGTGGTGTAGCAGTAGCGTCTTGATGTCAAGATGTCCCGGGCTTGAATGTCACTTCGTCACCGATCTTGTGCCCTTGGGAAAGGCACTTTACACGACTTTCCTCACTTCACTGAAGTTTAGTTAGGGAAGTCCATAGCTCAGATAGGACATTCAATGGACACGCAAAGTTAAAGAACCCACCGCACTTATCAAAAAGAGTAGGGGACCTTCCCGGTGTGAGTTGTTCAAACCTTACAGTCATATGGCCGCACCTGGGGTCGACTTGAGGTTACCTGAGTTAGCGCGAAATGGCAGCTGCTCCAGACCCTTGCGATTAAGCCCCAATATATAATTGTAAAGCTGCTCACAATTCAGCCCTTGGCTGTGAAGAGAGAGTAGCCGGCCCACCCAATACAGTACTATTCACCAAGCTGGTGACAGGGAAAGTCAGCTGGGTTAGGGTCTTCTCTCCCCAAGCTAAAAAATCAATATTGATCCATCCATTAGTCGATTAATCAATCGGTTGTTCCAGTAACATAAAGAAAGAAAAAACAATCTTCTTATTGTATATCATTTTACTGGTATTTATAATATCATATACTGTTTTCCTTTTCCAACAGGCCCCCGGAATGGAGATGGTCCCACCGCATCCTGCGTGTGCCGAGCACCATCCTGGCCTTCCAGCCGTGACTGCAGATCAGCCGCATAGATTTTAGCTGCTTTTGCCTCATTTAACCATGACAAGGTTCGTGAGTGGATATCAGGGTTCAAAATTACAAAGATCATCACCATCTTGCGAAGGATTCCATGCCCAAATTTAAATGGAGTCCTGTGAACATATGTCCAAGGTACCCCCATACCTATTTAGGTCTACTACCAGAGCACAGGGAGCCAAAATATACATTTTTGATCTGACAATGGGTTCTGTTCCTGAAAAAATTACAAGCAACACCATCGCATCTTTTCTATTGTTCTCTGATATCCTGCTCACAGCCTGTAACATAGATAATAGGGTTCCTCCTTCAACCATCCCTAAACGTTCATGTCTTTATAGGAAGAGACTTTCACCTGATCATAATATTGTAGTTCTGTATCTGTATCTATATATAGCCAGTATGCCATCCTTTGGCATAACACAGTTCCTTTTCATCTAGTCTTCACAACTTCGTCAAATTCTACCTAGTACAGAGATGTTTTACACCAGTCAAATTGTGCGACTCCATGGAACCCATAGATCAGCTTTGCAGCTCTTATAATGCGACCAAGATTTCTGACATTAAAAGAAAATGCATGATACGAAACCTATCCTTGTCATTTATTCTTGTGTGTTGAGTCTCAGCATTGATGTAACACTCACTCACACTCACTATCCTGGTTTTGATTATTCTGCTGCCGGTTTCCCTGTCCCAGGGGTGGGCAGCAGTCGGCTGTTCTGGACACCTCGCCTCCAGCTGGCTCTGTCCTGTGGGTCTGTGCTAGACAGACCACACTCCTTAATATCCCTCTGGAGACACTCCACCCAAGTTTTTCTAGGCCTGCCACGGCCTCTGTTGCCTGGCAGCTGCAAGTCCACGATGGTGTTGATGCAGCCACTGGCACACTTAACGTGCCCGTACCATCGGAGGCGGCGTGACTGCACGACAGACTTGATGTCTTCCAGGCCAAGCTTAGCAAGCAAGGTTGCAGAAGGTGTCATGTCCTGAGGTTTAACACCACAGATCCATCTGACCATGGATCTGTCATTACGGCGCAACCGTTGGAGTTGTAACAAGAAGAGTATAAGCAATGCATCATTCTGTAGTTCAATAAATGGTAAGAAAGGAAAGGTCTCCCGTGCTCTTATGCAGAGCGTAGGGTGGTGCCCATATCCATTTCTGTAGCCCTTGAGCGACACACAGTTGTGCAATGCACTACAGCAGGGGGCTAGTCCGCTGGTAGTGCTGTGTGCTTGACCTTCCCACACTTTTTCTCATATGTGCTGAGTGCTAAGCAGAGAAAGAAGTGTGTACCATTTTTTTAAAGTCTTTGGTATGACCCGGCCAGGATTTGAACTCACGACCTCCCGATTACAAAGCAAGCACTCTACCAATTGAGCTATTGCACCGGTCTAATAAATGCCATGATTCAGAAAAATTAAGGGGTTTGAGGAGTTTGAGACTGCCCTTCTTTTACGGGAAAAGTGCACATTAAGTTAAACTCGCCAGGTGGTATCTGAGAATGTAGAAACAGACATGAGCAAAGCAATCTAAGGCCACACCAGTTTAATTTCTTGGTTAACGGATCCACCCGCTTCATTTTTTTCTGATTTGCAAATAAAAATAAAAATTCAGAATCAACTGCAAAATGCTCCTATTTTGCCCTGAACAGTTGAAAACAGTTTTTTCTTCCTAGCTGTTACTATATAACAGTTATTCCATCTTTCAATGCAACTGGTATCATTAAAAGTTCTAAATTCATTGTTTAAATTTTGAACCAGCCTGGTGTGTTGACTTCATGGCTCCTATTGTACCATTTTGGGCCATAATAGGATGCCTAGGCCTGTTTTTATTTTTATTTTTTTTGCCCGCCCGCTCCATTATTTTTCTAGAAAAATTAACCAAGAAATTAAATTGGTGTGGCCTAAGTGGAAAAACAAAAAGTAACTCTTTTTCCCATGCCAGCAATCGAACCTGGACTGTGCCTGGGGGTATAAGTCACAACTTTAGCTTTAAAATCAGCATGGCATCAACACTGAGGCAATGATCTAGCAAAACTTTGGTGTGATACCGCCCCTGACCTTGGAGTACTCCTGCGTGGTCCACTTGTTCTGTTTGTCCTTGAGGTACAGCGGGTGAAACCACTCGAACAGGGAGTAGTACAGGCCAAAGTGCAGGTCCGTCTGGTTCCGTATGGCATCACGGAGCTCACCTGGGGTCAAAAGAAATTTATTTTGTGATTCTATTGTTTTCAGTCTCGATCACTCGACATTTACCTCCTCCCTTAACTTAAGTCTTTTGTATACACACACACACACACACACACACACAAAACCACTCAAACAGGGAGTAGTACAGGCCAAAGTGCAGGTCCGTCTGGTTCCGTATGGCATCACGTAGCTCACCTGGGGTCAAATGAAATTTGCGATTGATCTATTGTTAACTTTTCAGTTTTGACCACTCTCTTGCCTCCTCCTATAACTCTCAAACACTGCACAGACACACACATGCAAATACACAGTCACACATGAAAATAAACAGTCACACATTTGAAAATACACATTACGTGCGCGCGCGCACACACACACACAAACAAATACACACATAAATACACACACACAAAAACACATGCATGCAAACACACACACACACACAAACACACACACACACACAAACACATTGAGTCACAACAGCTGGGATAAGGACTTGAACTCCCAACCTCTTGGTCCACTAGAAGACATCAAGATCACTATAACCACAGTGGACTATACAAGGTACATACCAACCAAGTCCCTGTGAGGTCCTGTATCCATAGAGTTCCAGTTCCAGCTGTATTTGGAAGGCCAGTTGGTGAAACCCTCGTGGTGTTTGGAGGTCAATACCACGTATCTGTGAAAAGTGCAAACGTAATATGTACATGTACATTGTAATTGCCAAAATTTACAAACAATAAGCTTCTAGTTTTGAAAAATATGTACTTATTGTTTTCAATTCAATTCACTCAATTATATTGTTGTTGTACCTGGTACATACTGCTTTCTCTGCTTAGCACTCAGCACCTGGGAAAGAGTATGGGAGTTAAACACACACTACTACCCCCCTGCTGTAGTGACTGCACAACTGTGTGGCCCAAGGGCTACTGAACTGGAGATAGGCACTGCCCTATGCACCACATGGCGTGGGAAGGACTTTAACTACTTTTTAACTTAACTAAGTAACTTTGTTTATCATAATTTTCCCAACGCTTCCCAGTTACCCCCTATACAGTAAATGGAACAGCCCACATACTTTGCCCCTGAAGCTTGCAGGATCTCTGCCCACTGCAGCGGGTTATACCACTCTGCTGTAAACATGGGGGCGAAGTCGGCATAGCTGAAACCAGGTCGATAATTCCTTTTCATGAAGTCAATGAAGTCTGGATTCTTGGCCCCTGAAATGAAGAAATGAATAAATATAAATGAAAGAATACATGTAGGAATGAAAATGAATGAATGAATGAATAATGAAGGAAGGAAATGAAAGAGAATGAGTGGATATATTCTATGGTAACATAACTGCATAAAAATTCAAAATCATAATGATAAAATTAGAATTTTAAGTTAGCCTCTACCAGGCACCACAGATCGCTGGAAAAATAGTAGAAATTGGCCGAAATAAAGGGATAGTTTAGGGCGTATTCTGTCCGTTGAAAAATTTTCATTGCAAATTTGTACCAGTTCTTGAAGCAAGCTTTCATGGCAATTTTTCATGATTGCAAATTTTTACAAATTGTACAAATTTGGCAATTGAAGCAAGAGGCGAGTTTTCAAGGGTGACCATGTACCTTCCCAGTCATACCAGAACCACTCTGAGCCGTAGCTTGGTACAGAGTACACGCCCCACACTATAAAGATGCCAAACTTGGCTTCATCAAACCAACTTGGGAGAGGACGGCTGTCAATCGACTCCCATGTGGGCTTGTAGGGCACCTGAGTACGTACAAAAAGTGTTTCATAATATAAGTGAAAATGGAAGTTCTAACCACACCAGTTTCATTCCTTGGTTTCCAGTTCAACTAAGCTTCAATCTCTGAAAAAAGATTCCAATATCATGATCTTCTATAATGATTATTAATAAGAACAGTTCTTGAATCTCAAGTCAAGTTTTTTAAACACTACCAATTGCGGCAATCTTTCTTTTGAAGATTTTGAAGACAACGAAAATATTTGGGGTTAATGTCATAACTTTGTACAGTTTGTGTTGAAATCCAATTTTTTCTTTGAAAGCATTGGTGCACTTTCATAAGCCAATGTCACATTTTGGCAGGAGATATCAACCTCTTCATGGGTCAAGTTTTGTTGTTGTTGTTAGAAATGTGAAAACCAAGAAATGAAATCGGTGTGTCCTTATCCTGGAGTAAGCTGTACCTTTCCAGTCCCACCAAAACCATTCGCTGCCAAAGCTGGGGACAGAGAACACTCCCCAGTGCATGAAGATTCCGAACTTTGCTTCGTCGTACCAGGCTGGTAGCGGTCGCTTGTCCAGGGAGTCCCACGTCGGGGAATAACGGGGCTGCTGTTTATCAATAGGTTATACATTGTAGTTGATAAGTTAACTAACACATTAACTAATCCTATTAACCAACAATCCGTTAGTTAACTAACACATTAACTAACTGAAGATGCCATACTTCATTGTCACTGGTGGCCAAAGGAGTCCAACATCGGAGTGTAGCGGGGCGGCCGTCGATCAATAGGTTATGGTTGACAAGTTAGTTAGCTAACACATTAACTAATCAAAGTAACTGGTTATTAGTACATCCACGATGTCTCACACATCTTCGCAGAAGGAAAACATATCATTGTTTTTGCTCAGTTTCTTCCTCTTCTTCTCCAAACAAATAGGGTCAATGACCCGGACCAGACGTCGGTCACCATGGTAACTGGTGCTGTTGCAGACACAGCACCTGTGGTGTTGGGTTGCATTATGTAGCAGGACAGAGCTACAGGGACTGCTCACCACATATTACATACATGTTAGAGTAGCAATGAACAAAGCAGTTCAGGCTAGACCATGTGAAGGTTAACACATTTCTTTGCAAATGTTACCTTTGTAATTACTTTTCTTTGCAAATGTAATTACCTTTCTAATTACTTGCAATGTAAGAGGACTGCAGCAACAGTAGTAGTTGTATTGTCACTAATTGGAGGTTCCTTAAACAAACAAACAAACAAATTAACAAACCTGGTTCTTTCCCTGTCTCCATTGCCGTACTTTCTGCACGTCGGCGGCCAGGAGTGGGGAGGGCGCGTACAGCGTCAGCACAAACCCCACCACAGCAGTCATACACAGCAGCATCGCGAGCAGTCGGGGTTTCACTCGAGCTCCAAGCATAAACTGAATATCAACTGGCAGGCTGAGTGCAGAATGGAAAAAAACAACACACGGATCGTTACTTATTTATTTATTTTATTTATTTATCTATTTAAATTGCAAACACTGCAATACAGTGGAAGCCCTGGCAGCTGAGCTGATGTCGGGCCCCACAGTATAAAATACATATTACATACATAAACCATGGAGGTAGAAATCTCTTTTTCTACCTCCATGCATAAACATATACACATCATAGCACAATAAAGTCACAAATCACAGAAATCTCTTATACTTACAATCCATAATCTAGGCTAATGACAGTATGAAAAAAAGTAACAATATAATAATTGTTACTTCTACAACTTCTTATATACTGAACTGCCAATACTGTCTGAACTACATGGACAGTCTCATTAGCCTAGTATAGTACCCTTGTAACAGTATGTTCCTTATGTATGTAACGTTATGTCGTATTACCATGGAGGTATACTACTCAGTATTAGTCAAGTAGTGTACCTTTTGTCTCCACTTTTCTACATACGTCTGTTATGTGTCTGTCTGTTAAGTCTTGATCTGTACCTAGCTGCGCTCACTTGGTGGCTTTATTCTGTGGTTATAGCAACTGACAAGGCTTTATCACACCATATTCACCTCGGGGCGGGTCATTAACCCTTAATTAAAATTTACAAAATACATGCTTAGTGAAATATGCAAATTATGTACAGTGGTGCAATAATATCATGCATTTTAAAAATACAGTTATAGAGTCCTGGTATATTCATGGTTGCCGAGGTACAAAAATGCAAATGTTTTATTATACCTTGATACCTTGATACGTCTTCCAGGAAAGAAGGCCGTGGCCTGTTATGTCCTGATCTCTGCTCACTCGGTTGCATACCTTCGCTTCTCCCAGTGACTGTCATGTCTGCTTTTGAACTGATTAACAGTTTCTGCTGCTACTACTTCTTGAGGCAGAGAATTCCAGTTTTTGATTGTTCTGACACTGAACCCCTGCGCCCTAACCCTGGATCTTGCTAGAGGAACTTTCAACTTGAGGTTGTGACCATTATGTATATGTTTATATGGGGGTATGGTATAGAGTATAAACATATACCCCACATAGTAACTATTGACCAGGATTCACGTGAATACGAATAATATAAAACAAACAAACAACAATACCGATTCGGAAGTGTTTGTCACACGACAACAGGCTGCTTTTGGTCCTGGAGATCTCTGAAGGAAACTATGCTTTCAACCCAGAAGATTTAGAATGTTAAAATTGCCTAAAATGGTCGTTGTTTTGAGCTGATCCGCAGAGCAATGTTCTTGTTTCCTTCCTTTACGCCCCCAGTCAGGTGACGGGTCAAAGGTTACATAAGGACAACGACCCGAGTTATAGAACTAAAAGTTTGTTGCGTTAAGTTCATTCTTGAAACGTAGAATATGCTTTTTGCCGTTCTTCGAGTGTGATAGACAGCTCTGAACTATACAAGCTTCGCTTTCAAAGAGACTGGAGGGAAGAAACTGCTAGTATCCGCAAACGGTTCAGCGCACGTATTGTGACTGACCGGAAAATTGGGTAATCGGGCTTACTTATGCCAAACCCGGAAGTAATCTAACGCAATTTGCAGTTTGGGGACTTACCGAACGTTTTGTTTGCTGAGGAAGGCGACTAGAGATCGTTTGTAACCGCCTAAAAAAGGGATAGGTACGGAGCTAATGTAACTCAACGTTCGTACAAGCTTTTGAAGGTGAGTCTGCCGAAAAACACGACTTTTGGGCGAACATAAAGTAGCGGAAAATAGTGCAGAACGTGGTTTCTATGGATGCCCCCCTCCCCCTTTATTTCGGTAAATTTCTGTCCGGAAATGTTAAGACAACGTTTAACTTAACAGTTACACAACAACATGTTTCCTTGTTGTGAACTAGACTGTAACTTTTGCGTGACTGTTGAGGCCCAGGTTATTTTATTTCCTAGTTTATGTACAGTAAAGTTATGTATTTCAGGACTCACTAAACTATGATGATGAACAATGATGAATATATCATAATTTGATGCAACAAAAAGGTCAACAACGTACACAACTACAAAATAGATTTTAAAATTCTACTCTGCACGTACTGTACAAACCACTGTTTATTGTTTCTTTTGTGCATGTGTATGTGGGGTAGCAAAGTATTTACAACTTGAGTGTACGTCATATTGTCACATCCTTTGTGTATTGCAAATAAAAAAGATTCTACTTGTCAGGTTCAAGTTGTTGCAGACTTCAAACAAAAGATCACTGACATCAACATGTCCTTAGTTTTTGTACATAGAACTTCATCACTGATACCCATATTAAGGTCGTAAAGTCCTACAATGTAAATGTACAATAGTGTGGTGTCCTGTACATGTAGCGTAATGGTAGGGAATTCTCACATTCTGTAACATCTTGTTACATTGATCAGGAGACAGACAAAAGATGGCGCCGGACATTGACAAGTCCTAGGATGTGTTTGTACATTTTTATACATATAGAACTTTAACACTGTTGAGCTCCGAATATGAGAAGCATCACAGATGACTGTCTTTTTACATGTACAGAAAATTTCTCTGCACAAGTTGTCTGGGCGTGCGCATATACACTGTTACTATCTATGCAATAACATATAAACTTGTTGCATTGAACAGGAGACAGACAAAAGATGGCGGACATAGACAAGTCATCAGTACACGTGCCAGCCCTGGCGCGGGGCCTGAGCGACATGCGCACTGCTGACGTTCTGACGGACGTCACGCTTCAAGTCCCCAAAAACATGACAGACCCCAGGCCCTGAGACACTATTTCCTGCTTATTGATGGATTTATTTATGTTTTCTCTTATAACTTCATTTAATCTTCAGATTTATGAAGGGTCAAAAAGTTCTGACCCTAAAGAAACACCCCTATGCTGGTTCTAGATCACAGCATAGGTGGTTCAAATCACACCATAGGTCTTACAGCCTAGTGAGAACTAACTCTAACATCTTGTTGCATTCATCAGGAGACGGACAAAAGATGTCGGACATTGACAAGTCCTCGGTGCACGTGCCAGCCCTTGCGCGGGGCCTGAGTGACATGCGCACCGCCGATGTTCTCACGGATGTGACACTCCTCGTGGACGAGCAGCGCTTTTCTGCTCACAGGAACGTCTTGGCCTCAGCAAGCCCGTAAGTTTAACTTCTTACTTTCAACTCAGGGTTTGAAATTCACTGGTGCACCCAGCCTAAAAAAATTAAAGATTTTTTTGTTCCACCATATATGATAAAATACGTAGGAAACGTATTTTGTTTAATTTTAATAAAAAGTACTATAACAAGGATAATTTTCAGACACCTTGATGTTAAGAGTATGTTGTATACTACACAACATTTGACAATGACATCTTTACATGCATAAACCTAGGAAAATTTTTGGGTGAACTCAGGTGCACCCATAGAAAAAAATTGTGTCCACAGGCCCTGAAACTTGGGCACTTTAAGGTGCACAAGCACCCAGTATTTTGAGCCCTGCATTCTCTATTTGTTAACTGTGTAAGGAAGCAGAAAGAAGATTAAAACCTACCGTCTGTTGCAGGTACTTCTATGCGATGTTCACCGGTGGTCTGCATGAGGCAGGACAGAAGGAGATCAGGATCCACGAGGTTGACGGAGAGGTCATGGGTCTTCTACTGGACTTCATCTATACAGGAACGGTCTCTCTCACACCGGATATGGTCCAGGTACAGCTGTGTGTGTGTGTGTGTGTTTGTGTGTGTGCGTGTGTGTGTGCCTGTGTGTGTGTGTGTGTGTGTGCTTGTGTGTGGGTGTCTGTGAGTGTCTGTGTGTGTGTGTGTGTGTGTGCTTGTGTATGTGTGTGTGTGAGTGTGAGTGTGTGTTTGTGTGTGTGTGTGTGTGAGTGTGTGTGTGAGTGTGTGTGTTGGTGTGTTACAAGGAAGGGCAGTTATACCAGCTATACAGATACAGAAGCTGGTGTGTTACGCCAAAGGCCGCAGGTTATATACTGGCAATACAGAATACAGATCTCTGATTGCCTGTTTCATCCGATTTTTCCTCCTCAGGAAGTGAAGGCCCTCCTCCAGACAGCCGACCTGTTCCAGACCACAGTGCTGCTGCAGGCCTGTGAAGAGTGGCTACTCAAGTTCCTCACGCCCACAAACTGCACCTCACTCTACTTCCTGGCCTCCGCGCACAACTGCCGACGCCTCACGCAGGCCGCCAAGTGGATGCTGGGCGGAAACTTCACTGAGGTTTGTTTGTTTGGTAAACCGCCTTCTTAAGGCGTAACACACCAGTTTTGTACATGTACAAGCTGTGTAAGACTGGATTGTAAGGTTTGAGCCACTCACACCAGGAAGGACCCCTACTCTTTTTGATAAGGGCCCAGGGCCCATGTCAAAAACAAGACCATCTACACACATACAACAATAAGTTTATGAAGCATAAAAGTGTGCTGGCAGAAGAACTACCCAACAGTAGTGAGACCAGTGCCGGCTTAACAAGAAAACCTCGGAGTGGCATAGCAGAGGGATTATGTAATTTTCAGACGCAAAGAGGCATGTCACAAAATAGTAGGCCATCTTATGCCGCCTGGCATCAAGGGTATCAACCCAAAGGTTTGCTGTTGAAAAGAGTGCACTAGTTATAAATTTACAAATTGTGTAACACACGTTAACTTGTGTTATTCCCAGGTGAGTTTTGGAGAGGAGTTCCTGAGTCTGGAGCTGGCCCAGATTGTGGAGCTTGTGGCTGACGACTCGCTGGAGGTCAGAGTGGAATCTGACGTGTTTGAGGCAGCGGTGAGGTGGCTGGAGCACACTGGGACCGCTGGGGAGCCAGCTGACAGGCTGCTGAGACATGTCCGCTACTACCTCATGGACCCGGATTATCTACAGAACAAGGTTTGAGTTTCTTGTAATCCTGATCAGCCCATAAGGCCTAGGAAAAAAAGTTGTGTTTCTTGTTTCCTAACTGACCCTACAAAAAACTGCCGACCCTAGCCCAGGACAAGGTTTGAGTTTATTTGTTTCTTTGACTTTATCACAGTATGAAAGGGACAACCAAAAGACATGCCTCCCCACACAAATAAACAATGGAGAAGCGTACCACCAGTACGTATACCTCATTAACCCGGACTACCTTCAGGATAAGGTTAAAATTTCTTGTAAAAAAAGACAAACAATGTACATGGTGTAGTTGTAATCTTCATGGTTCTACGAGAGCAAAGAATACCTACCGATAAATATGTTTGTTCATTCCATTATCCATTCAATTATTCATTCCAGGTGCGAGCCTACAGCTTGGTGAAGGACTGCCCAGAAACGCTGAAGCTGTGCGAAGCGGCCGTGCAGGTACGGGGTTGGGAGGACAGCGCAGAGGGGACCGAGGCGTATGCCGAGTCGCTCGGGCTCACCACGGACCTGCGCTTCGGCATGAAGGTGTGTGAATTACGGAATAACATTACATAAGTTACATTTAGTTTTTGTCAGGTTCAAATGTTTTTTCCAGTTCCTTCACATGTGATTGATGTCAACTTGTGCTTGGAGTTCATTTGTGATGCTGAAGAAGAGTGATATTGCTCAAAATGTCTGAAAGGTATCTTCGTAATTAATCCTATAGGGAGCAGAGTTTCAATTTTATTTGAATATCTTTCGAATTTAGGTTTTATACCAACAATGTGCCATTGTACTGTATTTTAAATTAACGGTTAATATACCGTTATAATTATTAAAGGGCTGCAACACCATCCTGTTCCTGGGCGGGGATCCGCACAAGGACTTCCCCGACCGGAGCGTCTGCATGGCGTACAACCCACAAACAAAGTCGCAGTTCCGTCTGCCTCTACCCTACAGTTCCTCCAACGCCTGCGCTGTGGTCACAGAGGATCAGAAGCTTTACGTGGGTGGAGGCAACATTGAAGACGTCAACGCTATTGGACACTGTAAGCCCTGTCGGTTGTTTTTCGTGTATGACGCGGTTCACAACGTTTGGTTAGAGAAGGCGTCCATGCGAGACATTCGCACGAATTTCGCCATGGCGGCCGTCGGGAAGAGCGTGTACGCAATGGGCGGGAAGAACTTCCTCGTGGGGCACATCGCGGCGGTGGAGCGATACGACCCGGACGCGAACGTTTGGCACGCGCAACGACCCTTGCCCTGCGCCCTCAGCGGGCACACCGCCGTGACGGTCGGCGAGTTCATCTACGTCCTGGGCGGATACGCCCGGCGGATGGTCACGACGTCAACGGTTCGCTACAATCCTGCGACGGACACGTGGACCGAGCTCGCGCCGATGTCGATCGCACGGATGAAGGCTGGTGTCGCGGTGCTCGACGGGAAAATCTACACGGTCGGGGCGTGGCAGGGACAGGTTAGTTTGTTTATTCTTTTGCACATATATAAGGCCATACTGATTTGATTGTATGGATGACATCTGTGTGCGCATGACTTTTCGTCCGTTTCCAAAAAGAAGTTTTCAACCATACTGTAAATCTTACAAAGCAGCAAAAGGAACAAATATGTGTCATAGATTGCAAAAAAATCTCGCTGCTTCTTCTATAAAATTTGTTATCATGGTGACAGACGTGATCCAGGTCATTGACCTTATTGATTTGGAGAAGAAGAGGAAACAGAGCAAAAACAATATGTTCATACCTATCCCATATTGACCACCCAGTAGTATTCAATTTAGTTAGTTTAAGCCTTGTGTAGTTAAGATGTACTTAGTAGACGCCATACTTTGTACCCTGTACAACTGTATGTTGTGCAATAAAGTTAACATATGTTTATCCTATAATTAACATAAACAAATGATTATAAACAGGTTACCATGGAGATGTTTGACACGGAGAAGGAGCGATGGGAGCCGGGCGTCGTCCTCCCGTACAACGTGGTCTCCGGGGTGGGACTGGTTGCCCTCGACGACCGACTGTACCTTTGCGGGGCGGGGGAGGGCACCACGAGAGACATCTACTTCTTCTCTCCCACCGACCTCCCCTGGCCGTTCGGACAGTGGTGCCTGAATGAGAGGAACATTGTGAGGTTCGACAACTTTGCCTGCACGACAGGACGCCTGCATTTGGAGGGGCTGGAGTGTATCGCAGAGGGGCCGGAGAGGAATCAACCTCGGGCTTCAATATCGGCTGCGCGGCTTAATGCGGTGGTCGCTAGAATGTCTGCCAAACCAAGTACTAGTAGTTGATACATCTATGGAGTTTGGACATCCAGGTAAAACATAAGTACATGGCTGGAGTGTATAGTGGAGGGTCCGGAGAGGAATCAACCTCGGGCATCCATATCGGCTGCACGGCTTAACGCGGTCGTCGCTAGAATGTCTGCCAAACCAAGTACTAGTAGTTGATACATCGATGGAGTTTGGACAGCCAGGTTGAACACTACTTAACGCAAAATCAAAGTGTAAATCAAAGTATGATTGCACATGTTAATGTAATTAATGTGATTAGAATGGCATGTATATACAGTATTGTGGAAGGAATTTGATATGAACCTTGAATCTTGAACGTGGACATCAGTGGGGAATGAGAGGAACATTGTGAGGTTTGACAACTTTGCCTGCACGACCGGAAGGCTGCATCTGGAGGGGCTGGAGTGTATCGCAGAGGGGCCGGAGAGGAATCAACCTCGGGCTTCAATATCGGCTGCGCGGCTTAACGCGGTGGTCGCTAGAATGTCTGCCAAACCAAGTACTAGTAGTTGATACATCGATGGAGTTTGGACATCCAGTTTGAACACTACTTAACACAAAATCAAAGTGTACATCAAAGTATGATTGCACACGTTAATGTAATTTTAATGTTATTAGAATGGCATGCATATAGTGTGGAAGGAATTTGATATGAACCTTGAACTTGGACATCAGCAATGTCATCACGGGGAACGAGAGGAACATTGTCCGTTTTGACAACTTTGCTTGCACGACCGGAAGGCTGCATCTGGAGGGGCTGGAGTGTATAGCAGAGGAACCAACCTAGGGCATCTATATCTGCTGCACGGCTTAATGCGGTAGTTGCTAGGATGTCTGCCAAACCAAGTAGTACTTCGTCCAGTAGCTGATACATCGATGGAGTTTGGACATACAGGTAGAACACTACTTAACACAAAATCAAAGTGTAAATCAAAGTATGATTGCACATGTTAATGTAATTAATGTGATTAGAATGGCATGTATATACAGTATTGTGGAAGGAATTTGATATGAACCTTGAATCTTGAACGTGGACATCAGTGGGGAATGAGAGGAACATTGTGAGGTTTGACAACTTTGCCTGCACGACCGGAAGGCTGCATCTCGAGGGGCTGGAGTGTATAGCGGAAGGACCGGAGAGGAATCAACCTCGGGCGTCAATATCAGCTGCAAGGCTTAACGCGGTGGTTGCTAGAATGTCTGCCAAACCACGTACTAGTAGTTGATATGCAAAAAAACAACTGTTACTCAAGCAACTGGATATGATTTTGGAAATGGTCAGACGTTTCGGTTAGCAAGAACTAACTGCAAGTTCTTATGCAAGTAGTTGGTATACTTTTGTGTTATGGTGTGTTGTATAATGCACAGTATTGTATGTTACAGAACGATGGACAACCAAGGTGGTGTAATTCATATGAGTGTAATTAATGTGAAGTTGAATAGAATGGCATGTGTATAGTGTGGAAGGAATCTAATATAATTTTCGATATAAGTTTTAAACTTCCAAAAGGCCAGTATGAATTTGTTGATAGCGCTTACAGTCAAACTGCACGGTTGTTACTGCACTGTTGTCATTTGCAACAACTGACTGAAATTATGATGTATGTATTTATGAAAGAATTTAGTATTACTGATGAATTTGAATCTGGTAAGCAACTGTTATCAAAGACGTAGTAGGAGAGATTAGAAGCACAAAATTACTTATCTTCCTGTGTTTTCACAGTATTATATAGCAGCTGTTTGGGTATATATATATATATTCATTAAGGAATGTAAAATTATTGATGAAATTTTACACTGCTAAAAGATCGATGTTGAAGATTTAAATGGTTTGTGTGTGGGTGGGTATGGCTGTGAAAATGTTGTTTTTATCTAGATATAGAGCATGTGTGTTTTGTGGTATTCATTTGAAGTAATTATCAAAAGCATGTGGCTATCAATGCTTATGCATTACGAGTAATAATAATAATAATAGTGGTTTATTCAATTATTAACATATATACAATACATACGGACAGTCCCACCTAGCAGCCAGAGGCTGAATTGCATGGGAGCTGTTTCCATGAGATTCATTAAAACAATATCTTAACCATTATCTCAAACAAATTTAAAAACATTTACGAACAGGATAAAATTGACGGAGCATAAAAACATTCTTTAGCAGATTAAAATGGTCAAATTATTTCACAGGTTCAGCAACCGTACCATGTGTGGTACAAAATTTATTTAAAATGTAGCACAATTTTGATACTTACAGTGTCCCTTCGGTGTGAATGTTGCTTCTCAGACATGACAGATAATAAAAAAAATGAGAAGACATTGAAACGTTTACTTAGTTTATACTTTGATATTGTGGCCTCCTGAAATGAATTTGCGTAAGAAATGAGGCAAGAAAAGAGATCACAGAGAAGATGGTTTACATCCGTCTACAGCAGCAAAGAAACATTTTCACCGTGCGCCAACGCCCCCTAGCTTGTAATTCCATTTACAATTATGGAGCCATTCATGATGTGTGTGTCTGTGTGTGTTTTCCTGTGTGTCCGTAGATGTTTGAATGCAGTACAGTGATACTAGTAAGAAGGATGGGGGCTTTTTGTTAACGCATATTGATAGGAAGGTCCAACCACACCAAGGTACCATTTCCGGCGTGTTAGAACACGTTAGATAAATAAAATTGTGTTCATCAGAAAAGAAAATTGTTTATATATCCATCGCTGCTGATGAGTTTTGGACAGACACTTGAAACGTCTGATAATAAATTGTTATAGCCAGTGGTAAAGTTAGAGACAAAATTGTATTCATCTATAACCTTAATCTTCACAAACACAACACATTAGGTCCGTGCTGTTGTAAGATGTACGTCAAACCATCCCTTTGATTGTGCCAATTAGATTGATTCAAAACAAATTTTGAACTTCCCCATTTCCAGTTATTTTTGTCATAATGAGCTGCGTTCGGAGCTAATGGCTGGTCGCTACCTCTTAAGTGCCGCTGGTGGCTTCTTTGATGTCCCCAGTCCTATTATTAAAACCACGTGGGAAGCCCCACGAAGGATGTTTCGCCCACACACTAGACGCATCTCTTTACAACTGAGTAAAATCTAGATGTCACTGATATCCCTCATTTTGTTATTTCCAGTTATGTATGACACGTTGATGAAGGTTAGACATCCAGGTAAACGATACTCGTAAGAAAATTCAAACTCTACTACTGGATCAGTTACGGATTTTTATTTATTTCGATTAGTTATTATGTATGACTGGTGGATTCGTTGATGCCCCCAGTACTATCATTAAAACCACCGGACTCTGTTAGCAAGAGGGAAGGATGTTTCGCCCACGCACTATACGCATCTCTTCACAACTGAGGAAAATCTAGTAGATGATATCCTTCATTTTCGTTATTCTGGCGTATCATTGGGGTAGGAGACAGGAAATTGGGCAATTTTCGTGAAACCTTCGACGCGTTTAGCTTCAAACGTGGATGAAACATTTTCATCCGGCAATTTTCTCATCAGATATCGATTTTTTTGCTATTTCCATCTACTAATTAAGTCTTACAGTATGTAACGTCTATTGCTGTTGTCGTAGCCCTTTTGAAGCGTCTATATAATTGCCAACATCTATTCCTGTAACAGCAATCGGTAACATTTCAGTGCTGGATGTCCCTTTAAAGAGGGAATAAAAACTATGGAGAAAACACTTCATCTTAGGGCTGCTTGGATATTTCACCCCCACACTAGACGAATCTCTTCACAACTGAGGAAGATCTAGTAGATGATATCCCTCATTTTTGTCACTTCTATCATAGGGATAGGGAACAGGAAATTGACCAATTTTCGACGCGTTTAGCCTCAAACGCGGATCAACCATTTTCATCCGCAATTTTCTCATCACCGCAGTTTGTTATCATTTCTTGATCCGCTCAAGGACAGCGGAAAATTGGGTACAAAAAGCGTAACGTTAGACGGACTGAGGGGTGAAATATGAGAGGGGTTAAATCCTTCGACCTCGGACAGATTACTGCAGCTTAAGACCAGATAACACCTGAAATACAACAGTTCCTAAAATAGTCCAACGTGATGGGTACAGAGAGGGTACATGGGTTCAACCCACCTGAATCTACCCGACAAGAGTGTTTATACAGCACGGAATCACAATCATCTGTTTTCGATAATGTTTTATGGTTTTCAATATACCATATTTTAGCCTTGTAGCATTGTTGTTTTAAAGCCCATATGACAACAAGCTACACTGATATGCAACTGTTCCTACGAATAGTCAGACGTGAGGTCAGGGAACATGAAATCTTACTAATCATTCTTCCAGTTCTTGATTTCTGCCGCCAGTTATAAATCCAATTAAACGTTGCCAATGTCGGCACAGTGAGCATGGCAACCGGTTCAGAACCGGTACTTGGCAGCACGACTCGTAAACAACGTTCTTTGGAAAAGCAATATACAAAAAACACGCACGAGTTAAAAATACATAGTAGACAAAAGTTGTGCACGAAGCCAACCGAGTCGAGTGGAATTTTTCTCGCGCTTCTTTTGTACACGTATCTTCGTCCATACCCATCTCGTAATGTTAAGGTAAAGCAAAAATAACGTACAGTTGATATCTTAAGCACCAGATTCAGTTGCGCGTGGCAGTGTATACGGTAACTTCAAGCTTCTTTGTACTACAAGTATTAGCGTCAATTTCCAACAACTCATATCTTATAAGCACCAGATTCAGTTGCACGTGGCAGTGTATACGGTAACTTCAAGCTTCTTTGTACTACAAGTATTAGCGTCAATTTCCAACAACTCATATCTTATAAGCACCAGATTAAGTTGCACGTGGCAGTGTATACGGTAACTTCAAGCTTCTTTGTACTACAAGTATTAGCGTCAATTTCCAACAAGTTATATCTTAAGCACCAGATTCATTTGCACGTGGCAGTGTATATGGTAACTTCAAGCTTCTTTGTACTACAAGTATTAGCGTCAATTTCCAACAAGTTATATCTTAAGCACCAGATTCATTTGCACGTGGCAGTGTATATGGTAACTTCAAGCTTCTTTATACGAGTGTTGCCGTCAATATCCAACTATTAATGTCAATGCAAGACTGCTGGTCGTATCTTAAGAAGTAGATTCAGATGCACGTGTGAGAGTCAACAACTTCTTCTGGATTCTTTGTACTACAAGTATCGACATCAATACCCATCTCTTAATGTCAAGGCAAGACTTGTGGTCGTATCTTTTATCTTAAAAGCAGTAGATTCAGTAGCACGTGTTAGTATATGATAACTTCAAGCTTCGAGTGTTAGCGTCATATCTTAATGTCAAGGCAAGACTTGTGGTCATATTTTAAGCAGCAGATTTAGTTGCACGTGTCAGTGTATAATGACTTCTTCTCGATTCTTTGTACTACAAGTATTAGCTATAATTTCCATATCGTAATGTCAAGGTAAGACCGGGGGCCGTGAGTCAATCACAGGGTCAAGTGCCACGTGCCAATGCAACTTCTCG